TAAAATATGCATATACAGCAAGTTCATTTGATGGTGAATGACAACCACCATTAACCACAATAAACACGGAGAATTTCATGCGTTTATGATGAATTTCCTTCGAAATATTGGTTACCTCATTCAAGGGGTGTGACGCAAAAAAATAAAATACTTACGTTCATCTAGTCTTCTGTAATGCCTTAGTAATTCCTTGGTCAAAAATTGCCGACGCCTTAAATGTCAAGTCAATGTTAACTGAAAGCTTAGCACTCTATCTTGAGATGTATAGTGCATAATTTGGTTCAGTATAAAAAAAATAATGCTGTGAAACTCCACCATTTTTATGCTGTCCTTAACTTAATGATTACCTCATTAACCCTCATCGAATTTGCAAACGAAACCCTTTTATTTTTATTATTTGTATTTACACAGTTTACAATCCGAACACTTCTATACCAAATAAATCTTGTCTTATCGAGCTCAGTAAATTATCTAATCAACAAACATAACGTATCTCCATATAAGAAAAGTAAAAGAGAACTCTTAAATTACGTGTCAGTAACATTCGTAAATAAAATAAAGGTGCTTGAGCCCACACGTGCGTATATCTTACTATCTGTTTACCTATTTCGTGTTAACGTCTATTTATTCTATTTCTATTTTAAGTCCATCTATACTATTTGCTATCCACTTTGGGAGTGCTCTACGTTGCTACTTTCTCCGAAGCCGATATGGAACATCGGCGCGCCAATTTCAGGTATATATATATATAGAGATATTTTGATAATCTCACGAGGAGAGTTGTAACTGTGACAAGGCCACAGCGCGAGTGGTAATGCCTTTGAAAATATTTTATACGAGCCGTGACGATCGTATATTACAGATCAGCTTTACGTTTTTAATTTAAAATGTGCACGTGCTTACAAAATGTTTTTTTTTTGTCTTAACTTTTAGATTTAATTGACAGATGTTCCAATTGAAAGATTTGAAGTAATTTCCTTTACCAATTCCAACTGACTAAACTTTCGTGTTATGGTTAAATATTATTAATACGAACACAAATTTTAAATAAAAGTAAACAAAATAATACAATTAGTAATACAGACTAAAAGAATAATACAACTATAAATGAGGTAAATAGGACTTAATAAGTTCCATTTATTCAAATCCATAGTCAACATTCCAATAATAAAGAGGTAATATTTTTTTTACTGAAACAAGTTATATATGTCACAGCTTCATGAAATGTAAAAATGAACTCAATAAACGAAGCACTAAAATTTGCTCTCAGACATAAGATTGAGGCTATAGTCTAGATATCCGTCGAGCTTATACATGTATTTCAATATTTTCGCAGTTTCGATTTCATTTTCTGTGCCAATTTTCACAAAAATTATACGTTTGGGAATTTTTGTTTGTATATAAATTAATATGAGCAATTCTCTCCCTGCAGGAAAAATATGAGCTACAGGAAAAACTAAAAATCCCTACTAATATTATAAATGTTGATGTAATTTTGTTTGTTACGCTTTCACCCCAAAACTACTCAACCGATTATCATGAAACTTTGTACACATATTCTTAGAGGTATGAAAAATACATAGGATATAATAATTTTTTTTTAAAAAATAGATATTTATTTGCGGGCGAAGCCGCGGGTAAAAGCTAGTATACTATAAGACAAACAACAGATATAGGTCACCAGAGCTGGTGGTTGCGCAGTTTAACACTACGAAGCTAACTAAGTCAAACACAAAGTATCGCCCCAATGCATTCAGCCATCCGATAATGTCCGATTCGATTCCCCCAAGTTTGAATGTTAAAAATAAGCATTTAACTGGGCTACCCGTCCCGCATATAGGTGGGCTAATGCTGTTTTAGAAGCGGTTCACTAAGCACTGGCGGAACGGGCTTTCGATTCTTTTTATAAAAAAGCTCACATGTTTTACTTTACATCTGCCTAGGTGCTAATGCTCCCACATTACACAGTTATCTTTTGGTGTTTTCTGTTTCAGTTCGTTCACTACATCGACTTAGCTTCGACGAGCTTTATTACTACACTGTAAACTGTCACTAAAGAATCATCATTTCAGCCTGTTTGAGTCCACTGCTGAACATAGGCCTCCCCCATAGTCTGCCACTAAAGAATAAACTCGAGCAAATTGTATTCTCGCCCCAGCGTTTTGACAATCAATGAGTAAGTATAATGCTTCTGTATTGCATAAAGTCATTTGAATTTGAATCGAATTAAAATTTATGCTCTATTTCGATCTAACTCTAACAGAGATCTGACTAACACAGTGATCGGATAAGACCGGTTCGGTGGCAACAGTGCACTTTCTAAGTCACAAATCGTGAATGCCCTTTGCCACTATACATTAGACACGTGTGGGACGGTGCATGGAAAATATCTATGGCGAAAAACACGAGAAACTCTTCATCGAACCCGTGACTATAGAATCCAAAGCCGTTCCAGCTAATAAGTCATGACAGAAATGTACACGATAATAGTATAAAAATGCCACTTCATAAATCGTAATATAGCTTCCTAAGCCATTCGTACATTAGCAAAACACATGTCAATATAACTTTATTTTTGATAGACACAAAACCTTGTAAAGTAAAATAAAGGACCATAATATATCCAACGATATACCTAGCAGTGAGATTTAAGTATTTCTTTTTATATTAAAGATTAAACTGTATACTTTCATCAATCTACTTAGAGGTCATACGACAAATAGAGTTCGTTGCATCGCGAGCCTCGTATGAAATTAGAAAACTCACAAGTATTATACGTATGAATATAAGAAACGTATTATAACTTTTACGGCACCATGTAAACTTCTACTATGTTGTGCTTAAAACGAAATGCGTTAAAAAGCAATCTACTGACATTGAAGTTACGAGGAACGGTTATCAAGCGGTACGTCGACGATATAACGTACGCCTAATCATAGTGCAAATACACCATTTGCTTCCCAAACGCTATTTAGCGTGATTACGCTCCGAACTGACACTGTCTTGCAATAATGATGTTTGCTTTCGCGCCATAAATGGCCCGCGCTGTCAGAAATGTCGCATTATCTGTGTATCTGTTTCTAATTCATTGTATACTCTGTACGGTTTTGATGAACTTTGCCCTTTCAAGCACAATGCCCGACGACCCCATTGGCGTGGGGAGTTGTGAACCTGCCTTCTGCGCCAGAAGGTGCGGGTTCGATCCCCACAACTGGAAAATTATTGTGTAACGAACTTGTTTTTCCAGCGACGGGATTTTTATATATGTATACATGTATTATTTACAAAAGAACAGTATGTTTAAGTATGATTGTCACTTTTCCAGTACCCTTAGTACAAGCGTTGCCTAGTTTGCGACTAGAGAACGGTGCGCTAAAATGTGTCCGAAAATATTTATTTATGAACGTCCGAGTTAAAGCATCGCTCTGGAAAAGAATTGAGAACTTTTAGAACACGAAAGTAAAAGTGAGAGGAAATTGAATCATAGCTTTGTTCAAACATGTTCACTCATGACACACTACCACGTAATTTAACTCAAATAAATTACATAGAAATTGATGCATTCCATGTTGTAACAATTATCAAGCATACTTGAAAGGTAGCTTGTCGCCGAATAATAGGCAGAAATTTCAAGACGGTGGTATTTATGATAATCAGTAAAATGACTTCTCCTCTCCTATATACTTTTCTTGAAAAATAAATCGCTTAAATGCAAGTGCGAAAAATGCGTCTGTCTGCATTATTGAAATAGTTAAATAAGTAATGTACGGTTCTGCAATTTAACATTTTTCAGTTCATAATAAAACGTTTTTGTCACAGGAGTAATGTGAGGGCTTTGTACTTTTTGTCGTGAATAGAATATTATGTGGAATAACATAATTGCCAGGGAATTAATTAGTTTTAACGAGGATATTTTCCGTTGAATTATAGTAACTGTTAAATCTTGAACGTTCTAACGAGTACCTTCCTGTGAGCCTAATTAATGTTTTGGCTTAATTTCATTATTTTTAACTTTAATACGCAAATTAAAAGTCAATTAAGATAAAAATCGACTCTTCTTATATAGAATCGAATATAAATCCCATTTCAATAGCTTGCATATTTGATTTGGACATTCAATTATTGTTTTGTAATAAGTCTGTTTGGAATCATGTTGGAATGAAACAAATTACTATTAAACATAAGGTAACTAAAAAAAGGGGAAAACCTTGGTCTAAGCTAATTATTATAATATAAAATCCGTGAGATAGAGTTATATGAACTAGAAAACGTTCAATACCAGCAACTATTTTTTCATTTTATATCTTACGTATACTTTCTGGGCCAAGTGTGTTGTAAACTTGAACTGAACATGTTGTTTATTTATATTAGAATTACATATGTAGATCAAATGAATAACGAAAACATGAAAGTAAGTAGAAAGATTTGTTTTCGCTTTTAAATTGGAAGGCTTAGAAATTAAAACGAGATAATTTTATTATGTTTTGTATTTTTCATTAAGTAACTGATAAGTTTTATTCGTAATTTACAACACAATGTTTTCGTATCTCCTATTAACAATAACAGGTTTTTGACATAAATTAGGTTAATATTTTAAATAAAAATTATATACAATAAATTATATAAAATTTATATACAATCCACAGTTAATATTTAAATACACATGAATAATTAAGAATAATAACCTATTTTTTTAATATCTTAGTAAATACGGTGATACAAATATTAAGCTTTATTAAAACAAACTAATTAATGTAATAAACAAATATATAACTAAAAATTTTCGAAAACCTTACACAACGTAGGTATATCACTATCAACTGTTACATAAGCATTGAAAAGAAATAAACAAAAAAAATACGAAATTCATAAAGTTTAAATCAAATAAGACTGCTAAGCTATTAACAAATAATTCATGCATCGAACGTCATGTAAAACCGCGCCAAACTTAAAAAAAAGAAAGAAAAACTATATAAAAAAAAATTAAGACGTGCACGAACCTTCTGCCATCGCCTTCTGGTCTCCGTGAGGAAGTCTGCCAGCACCATCACTGTCACTGAACGTAAACGCCAACTTCGTAAATGCACAAAGAAGCGACCTACAGGCTCGTATTGCCGCCGTGCTCTGCGAGGGAGTGCGCCGGTAGAGGAGCGCTGGCCCCTTTTGCCCCTCCGCCCCCGCACTCCCTTCAGAGAGAGGGGCGCGAATCCCTCAGAGCGAAGGGATATTCACTTGAAAAAGAACTCTCGATCTTAGACGTTACGGTCGTAGAGATAGTGCCGATTTCCTGCTACGTAGAAAAGCGCGCGAGTATTGTTCCATTTTCGAAAATGGCTTTGAGTGAATTTAAGGATATTTTTTAATATTTAATTATTCCTTGTAAATAAATTAAAAATAAAGTAAAGTAACTGCGAGAATATACGTCCCACTGCCGGGCAAAAGCCTCCTCCATGCAAAGTCCACCACGCGACTCCAACGTGGTTTGGCAAAGTTCATATTATGTCTACGAAATTTTTCTATGATTATTCAAAATATATGCAGATTTTCTTATGGTGTTTTCCTTCAACGATGAACTCAACCTCAGGTCACAAGAGTATTGTATTGAGTGCTGCATTAAATACGAGCCGCGAATTGTATTTAAGTTCTTAATTATGATTAATTAATCACTTATTCAATCATTTATTCAACCATCGAGAGAGGCAAAATTAAAATATATTTACAGATTTGATCATTAATGTCAAAATCATGTCCGTTTTGTGAAATACCACGACCTCACAGAAGATGAAGTATTATAAGTCTGCGTTTCTTCTGGTGAGTGTGATAAATGGGGCCCATTTTTTCTAAGTTTGTCAACTCGATTACAACCCTTCGGGTAATTTCTATGGGCGGCGGTAATCACTTAACATCATGTGCACCTCCTGCTCCCTTGATAACTTTTGAATTTTCTATTCGTTCAAAAGCAGTGCGTTCAAGGTGATGTTTAGCCGTACCATAGTACAATTATTACTTTTGTTGCACAACAACAAGTTAAACAGTTCACGTTGGCCCCGATGAACTACGAAATAAGGAAAGAGAACACTAGTCTGTCTGTCTGTCCCTATGCTAAAAAGTGTTCAAACTACGGTAATTTAAGAAATAAGCGTTACGAAAACAATGTAAAATCCGTAAACAAAGGTCTGGTCATAATTTTTTTTCAATACCACAATTTTTGCAATAAATACCGACTAATGCTAGTATAAATATAAAAAGGGGGTATTGGAATCGTAACTATATAAGCCATTAGTAGGGCTTTAGCTAAAAGTAAAACACCTAATAATTGAAAAGGCGCCATTGACTGCCTTAGTTTAAATCTAATCCGAAACTACAGAAATCCGGGCCGAATACTAAAGAAATGCTTCATATACGATATAGAGCATAAAAAGTCTTGGACCGTAAACTTTTTCATATTTTATGTAATCGGACGTTTTACGGTCGCCTCGCGACTCTCGAAAATAAGCTCCATTCATATTTACGTAGTAAATTACACATTTGTATATTACAAAAGTCAGTTCAATTTCATAAAAGATTATTATCAGTATTCGATAAGTCCAAATACAAGTCAGTTTTTAATCCTTGACCAGAACTTAGCATATTTTTTTTATATTGTAGCAACAAACGGATTTAATTACCTGTTTAGTCTATTACACTATTTTAAGTTATTTTATTTTATTAGCTTTTTATTTAAAAAACCAGGCAGGAAAATGGACATCAAGGACACGATAGTCTCCTTCGGTACATAAAGGCTGACATATTAAAAGTCATCACTGGATTGTCAGCTGAAAGTTTCGTACGGAGCATGCTACCCTCCAGCGGCATAGTATCTATGTTAGTGGTCTAAAATTGCGTGTACCCTGAGCAAGCCCGCAGTCAAATTGTCTCAGATAATCTCTTATGTATCAATAGAGGTTTAGGGCCCATTTCCAACATGTTTAAGAGAGCCGTGTGGTTTCCTCCAGCTCTTTTAATAACGGCTCTTTCGTTCTCAACGCAATCCATGTTATACGGAGCTATATCCGCCAACAATCTCAAATGCATTGATCTGATTGCTCATACCATTACCTTCGAAACGATATACTAAAGGCGTTAAACCACTTTACATATCATTTTAGTTATATATATTTAACAACATAATTATTATGTATTATAATTTTTATAAATTAACAACTGACAATTGACCAAAATAAAACAATAACATTGCACAATCTGGTCAAATCAAATACTATTTGTATGTTATATTTTAGTCGTAGGATGCTAATTAAGACGCCGTAGGAGAAAATGCAACAAAAGAGGTTTCGATATTTAAATTGTGTTATAGATTTATAAATAAAACATATGTACAAGCTACATCTATAACAATAAACACCATTGATATTAACCATATCTCCTTAACATGAATAACTAAGATTAATTTAAAAAAAAAACTAAAAAAGTATCGAATCTTAGGTTTGTTTAAGGATTGAACTGGGAATCCCTGATAGACTCTCAAAAGGACACAAATAAAAAACTAACTTATTTCTGTATTAACCAAACAACATTCTCCATTCACGTGTTACGGAAACGTGCGGAAACACTTAGAGTGCGGCCATATTTATTTTTAAACGTGTTTCCGATCTAACTATTTATGCATTAAATTTTTTACTTATATAAGTAGTTTTTTAAAGTCACATTTCATACAGTGAATAAAATCGTCACTATTCTTACCTTAATAATTTCTATATTTTATTCGAAATAATTATATAGTTCACAGTCTGTCGAATAATTAATAATTTAGAGTTGAATATGAGTTTTAATTTAGAGTATAATAAATACAAATGTTCCAGAACAAAATTTATGTGTCTATAATTTTATTTATTATTTTAACCATAGTCGGCGAGACAAGCAAACTACACTTCGAATTATCTACTAAATATCCGATACGTTATTTCGTTTCACACTAAAGTATTTAAAATATTTAGAGATATCTGGAATTCAATTTCTGCCGGCCTACACTGCCGTCGCTGGTTAAACCAAATAGTTCAATGAAAGAGCTACCAAAAAGGCTTAAGAGGTCTGAATGTGAAGGAAGCCAGTAGAATAGATAAGATAACAGCAATAGTTCCAAAGGCTTGCACCCGAGTTGTTTCCTTTGCTGATACGTCTGTTCCACTTCCCATTTAGGGTTGTAATGCCTAATACCTAGACGCTAGCTTGTGTGACAAATGCCGGAGTTACTTAGGGGTCCGTCCGTAACATAACCAGTTTTACTGCTTATTAACTATCTAATCCAGTCCCAGTATCTATTGGCACGTATGTAGATTATTATATGGTTGTGCAACCGTTCATATTTTTTTTCATAATAAATTCTCGTAATGGTAAAACTTTGTAGCAAATATACTAAAATAACATTTTTAATAAAAGTAACGGTATATTTAAAATTATATGTAAACAGGTATCGCATTTTTATGTAATATATTTTTTAAGTTCGCTATTTATAACCATTCGTTCGCTATTCATAGGATGTCGGATATTTATAAAAACGTAATAACGACTAAAAGTAGGTTGTATCTTTTTACGGAATATATTCACCAATGACCTGAATAGAGAGGCAGCACGTGGCCCGTTTGTTAAACATTGGATAACTCAGTCAAATTGAGAAAAACAGAGAGATCCGCGGTAACCATTCGACGATCATTTTATTATATTTTTATGACATGTTACTCCCACTGCATGGTAAGGTTATTATATCATTGCTATGAGATGTTCTTGCATTAAGTTTCTACTAACTACCTAAATAGGGAAAAGTTCATCATTAAGGCGTACATTTAATCTTTACATTTTAGGAGCTTCTGAATAAAACGTTTACGTGTTTGCTCAGTCTCCGGGCGCTCGCCTTTAATCCAATATACTCGAGCAACATGAGTTCGATCCCCGGTGCAGGCAACAATGAAATTGTTAATTTTAAGTGCTGAATTATCACGTGCTCAGCGGTGTAGGAAAACATCGTGAAGAAACCTGTATATTTTCGAAATAATAACAAAAGAAAAATATTTCGAAGATAGGTGAATCCGCAGTGGGGCCGCGTGGTGGACTATGCCCTGATACCCTCTGTACAGAGGACGCTTTTGCCCACAGCAGTGGTACGCGTATATACTTTAGTCTTTTTTTCGTTACTTTTCTATTAACAGACTGTTAAGGTTTTTCATAACCTATAATTCGTTATGAAACAACGCATAACTTAATGAATTTTATTTATAAATAGCCCATTATATTTAAATACGGTTTTACAGATCTTATAAAGTTGTTAGCTTTGTAGATATAGAGTTCGTTTATGAAACACTTATCAAGTATTCAAATAGATGATAAGGCAACAGTTGAGCTAAATCCACCCGTAACACTAACCTGGATCGCTCCCGTACAAAAACCGTACTCTAAATATTAGTTTAGAGTAGTTTAGAGTATATGGAAAGTGTTACTCGTGTAGAAATCGATATAGTATCGACTTATTTTTGACCGACATGTGGATATCGATTCCTGGCTTATACCGGCATTACCCGTGGGCAATTCTTGAATCGAAATCGCCGAATTGAATGCTTTCTTTCGACGCGAAACTATTTGGCAGGCAAACAACTCTTAAAGGGTCACCTTTAGTTTACACTCTGTTTGAAGAAAATGTAAACTTAGTTTATTACATGGACGCACTGATTAGAATTTCATTTTAAACCGATTCAATAGCGACCTTCTACCATAGACAAATATAACTAAATTAATGTGAATTGAAGGGACCTCGACCTTTAGTTTGCTCAAAAAGCCTTTAACCAAAGTTCAACATCACGACACTCATTAATGATTACAAAGCGAACAAGTTTAGTGTATACGTTTTATTATTTTAACGTTTGAAGTCGACATTTTTGCGCACTGACGATCCTAAGTATTAGTACCTAAACTACTCATTTTGAATATTTAAAATCAGATATTTTGAACATATTTCCAATCATTTTCAACACATTATAAATTCTTAGAGTAATTATTTTGGGACTCTTTATCAAAATTTTGGTATATAACAGGAGTCATTTAATATCAAATTGATTTGTTAACTAATTGAAGTTTCAGAAAATTGCGTAGACATTTGTTGGCACGACAGGATAAAGAGGAAAAATAATTTTGCGTTTATTACGGTGATGTAAACGGGGCCCATTCTGTTAAATGTTGTCAAGGCATGTAAAATCAGTTGTAGATGTCTATTGGCGGGGTTAATCGTTTCACATCATCTGGTGGCACTAAGTCATAAAATTTCCCACAAAAAAAGCATTGAAAGAAAAGATTGAAATTATCGGATATAACA